ACATTTTCTGGTACGACCGAGAATATCTTCTCATTCATTTGCGGAGCTGACCGTTAGAATCAGAATTTTGAAGTGCCCCCCCGGAATCAAATTATATCAAACACTGTGTAGTGATAGGCTAGAGAGAAAGAGAGAGATAAAATGCTTGATTGTCAAATCGATGAAAATGACTCCTTCAAAGACCCGTGACGGGTTTTAAATCGATCAGAATATTTCGAAAAAAGATATTCTTTATGGCTATCCTCAACATTTCACACATTAGAGACGGTTCAGATCCGCTATTGAATACATCACAAGATCGTGTTAACTAGAATGCAAAAATACTGAGTAAGTTTCGGTAGGCAAACATTTGTCAATATTCGCCACAAAACTTGATTGATCTGAAGTCCCAGAAAGCAAGAATTTCAAAGTTCTTCCACCTTATTGGTATGTCAGTGTTGTCAACCAAAACCGACGACCAGTGTTCTGGAAGGTTGTTATCTGTTAACCTCAGCTGTCCTAGTCGTGTTTATCTAGCGAGTATCACGCAATCTGCTCTACAGTAAATCTGTTAGATAGATGAAATAATTATCAAAGACAAAATGTATTTAACTCTTCCATAATAGAGTAACTGTTACAAAGTATTCTATTTAGATTCTACTTTGAACCACCACTCCAAGACAGGAACATCTGTTTAGAAATATTATATACGAACAGATATACTAAAGGGTTGCCAGTTGTGTAAAGAAATAATTACGCACGAACAGACGTTTTAAAGCATTGTCAGTCATATAAACAAAGAATTATACATGAACAGACTTTCTAAAGCATTGCCACTCAAATAAACAAAGAAATATACACGAACAATCTTACTAAGGCATGCGTAAGTTAAACTTCGCTACTGTACACGAACAGAACCAAAAGTATTGTTACTATAAACAAAGAATTATGCACAAACAGACTTACTCAAGCATTATTTCTTATATAAAGAAAGAATTTTACATGAGCAGACTTACTAAAGTTAGTACATGAAATAATTATTGAATAATTAGTGCAACCATTGGATCATATTACTTACGTAGTCGTTTAATAGGTTTGAGGAAACAACAACAAATAAAACTGGCAAGAATATACGAAGGTCTAAACTAGAACAACCGAAAATCTCGCTGCTTACATGAACATGCTTCTCAGGTACTCAAGAAAACTGTTGTTTCTAACAAAAGTGTTTAAAATGTTAATAATATATGTAGAATCTCTCACGAACTTCCTTTTACTGATAACACTTTTATGATGAGTTTAAAAATAGTTTGACAGATGTATATATCCAGTTGTCTGGCATAATTCAGTACATATGTTCAACAGATGTATATACCCAGTTGTCTGGCATAATTCAGTACATATGTTCAACAGATGTATATACCCAGTTGTCTGGTATAATTCAGTACATATGTTCAACAGATGTATATACCCAGTTGTCTGGTATAATTCAGTACATATGTTCAACAGATTTATGCTCCCAGTTGTCTGGCATAATTCAGTACATATATTCAACAGATTTATGCTCCCAGTTGTCTGGCATAATTCAGTACATATATTCAACAGTCTTACATACTAAGTTGTCTGGCATAATTCAGTTCATATATTCAACAGTCTTACATACCAAGTTGTCTGGCATAACTCAATACATATATTCAACAGTTTTATATACATAGTTGTCTGGCATTACTCAGCACATTTAGTCAACATATACGTAGTTGTTTGGCATAATTCAGTACATATATTCAACAGTCTTACATACCAAGTTGTCTGGCATAACTCAGTACATATATTCAACAGTCTTATATACCCAGTTGTCTGACATAACTCAGTACATATATTCAACAGTTCGATACACATAATTGTCTAGCATTACTCAGTTTATATATTCAACAGTCTTATATACCCAGTTGTCTGACATAACTCAGTACATATATTCAACAGTCTTATATACCCAGTTGTCTGACATAACTCAGTTTATATATTCAACAGTTCGATACACATAATTGTCTGGCATTACTTAGTTTATATATTCAACAGTTTTATATACATAGTTGTTTGGCATTGCTCAGTACATATATTCAACAGTCTTATATACCCAGTTGTCTGACATAACTCAGTTTATATATTCAACAGTTCGATACACATTATTGTCTGATATTTGGGCAGGAGGGAAATTAGGTCAGATGGTGTCTGGAGCAGTAGAATGGCATTTGCCACCCCACCCCCATCTAAGAAATACAAGTGAATACAATGCATAAAACTTTCAGCATTTGTTTTCGTTGGGGGCTCTCAAGTGGTCGGGGCCTTGGTGCAGCTACACCTTCTGCCCCACCCTTAATATGGCCCTGATTCTGGATATCTGCAAAATATCACAAGTAAATGTACTTTGGATGAAAATGTCTATAGTTAGCTGTAATGTTTTCAATAATTGTTATTTTAATAATGAATTGCCTTTTAAGTAATTTTATCTGAGATTTCAAGTTGTCTCTCGAAGTCAATACTACACGAAGTTTGCCAATACGGGAGTTTAATGGTGTTTAACTAAGGTCGCTGTGATATCTATGTTAATCGTATCTTTATTGTATTCTTTCTTTACATTGTGCTTTGAAACTATTACATTTCTCAAACTTCTCGACTGTATGATTTAATCTAGGTTGTATTATGCTGTAAATCCAAATCTTTATGCAAGTCTATTGACTGAATATATTATTAGCTATCATCCAAGCGACTTTAATAAAATCGAGTTTAAATACACGTGGTGAGCATAGCAGACACAGTCTTGCGCTTAACAAAACAAACAAATCAGCTATATACATACATCACACTAAGGCCGTTCTTGCTGCTATCGCTAGGGGAAGGTTCAAGTATACGAATAAAGCCACTAGTGTGAGTCTGCGTTATGTTCTTGTAACACCTGTTGTAGCTACGGTCCTGCGGCAATACAAGAACTGTCTGATCTTGCTACGTGGGTTATAATGATGAAAGGTGCTGCTGAAGAAACGGTAGGAAAAAAAGACAGTATATTTTTGTTACTTAGTGACATTAAAATAACATAACACTCGTTACTGGGTGCAACAGCTTGGTAGGCTATTGGCGGGAAATCAGTTTCTCATTTCTGTTACTAACCGCAAGTACTAGTGCTAGGTGACATAGGAAATTAGTCGTTTATTTCGTTCACTATTCACATTATACTAATACTTGTGTTGGGATGCAGGACCGGCACTAGGCAGTGTGAAAGTGCTGACCCAGGCTTTCCACCCAAAACTTTTCAATATTCGTATTTATATTGTATTATAGAATTGTTGTTTCTGACCGATTCTGTAGGTAATTTTGTTTTTCGTTATACTGACCTCTTTATATTTCCCATAAAACTGAACTAAGATTTATGAGGTGGAGCGGAATGTTATATAATAGGTAAGCAGTATCTTGAATAACATTTACACCACATATACTTATGCGCATGTCTGTTTGAACCTCTAGTGCATATTGGGTTGTGTTCTACCGGTATACGTGTGGGAAGGCAATAAGTACCAGGAAAGAATGACTTTCCTTGAGAACTACTGAATTAGGTAAAGCTAAAACAGAGAAGTACAACGTCGTAGAGAATCAACTTTCATCAACTCATTTATGTCTATTATGAATGCATTTTACTATAAAATAAAAAAAAGACTTCTAAATGACGTCAAACTTGTGCGTGGTTATACTGAGTGGTTAGACTAAAACTACCTGTTACTGCGGCGAATCAACACAGCAAAAGTGAAAGCATAAGTTTACAATCAATACACTGACTAGAGTAGGCCCCTTGTTGGGTCAGCGGTAAGTTACGAATTTATAACAGCAAAATCCGGAATTCGATTCCACAAAATAGCCTATGGTGTACCTTTGTGCTAAAAACAAATAAGCAACTAGAGTAGACTTGCATATCAAGAGTAGACCTGAAGGTAATTAAATATACCAACATCCTGACAAGTAGACAGGGCTGTTTAACATACGAACATCCTGACATGTAGTTAGGGCTGTTTAACATACGAACATCCTTACATTTAGGTAGTGCTGTTTAACAAACGAACATCCTGACATGTAGGTAGGGCTGTTAAAGAAACGAACATCCTTACATGTAGGTAGGGCTGTTTAACAACCAACATCCTGACAAGTAGACAGGGCTGTTTAACATACGAACATCCTGACATGTAGTTAGGGCTGTTTAACAACCAACATCCTTACATTTAGGTAGTGCTGTTTAACAAACGAACATCCTGACATGTAGGTAGGGCTGTTTAACAACCAACATCGTGATATGTAGGTAGTGCTGTTTAACAACCAACATCATGATATGTAGGTAGGGCTGTTTATCAAACGATCATCCTGACATGCACGTAGTTCTGTTTAACAACCAACAATCAGACATGTAAATAGGTCTGTTTAATAAGCAACATCCTGACATGAAGGTAGCGCTTTTTAAAAAACGAACATCCTGACATGCACGTAGTTCTGTTGAAAACAAACACACTGACATGTAGGTAATGCTTTTTAACAACCAACATTCTTACATGTAGGTAAGGCTGTTTAACAACCAACATTCTGATATATAGGTAGTGCTGTTTAACAAACGAACATCTTGGCATGTAGGTAGGGCTGTTTAATAAACAACAATCAGACATGTAAATAGGTCTGTTTAATAACCAACATCCTGACATGAAGGTAGCGCTTTTTAAAAAACGAACATCCTGACATGTAGGTAGGACTGTTTAATAACCAACATCGTGACTTCAATGTAGGGCTGTTTACGAAACGAACATCCTGACACGTAGGTAGTTCTGTTTAACAACCAACATCGTGACATGTAGGTAGGGCTGTTTAACAACCAACATCGTGACATGTAGATAGGGCTTGTTACGTATCTGTTTGTTTGTTAATTCCAGTATAAATTCTTTCCGAGGAACTTCAGCGATACAAGTCCCTTCTTGATTAAAACAGTTTATTCTTTCTCGATACAAACTTTGTAATACCCAGAATTTCACAGTCAATATGTTTTCTCGTCGCTTCACTTAACAACCTTTTTAACACACGTTATAAATCACAATGATTCAAACACTTTATTCTTTCTCGATACAGACTTTGTAATACACAGAATTTCCACAGTCAATACGTTTTCTCGTCGCTTCACTGAACAACCTTTATAACACACGTTATAAATCACAATGATTCAAACACTTTACTTACGGTGCCTTCTGTTCGCTTGACTCAATTATCTATCTCCTAAATCCCGTTGGTTTTTCTTGCTAGACTTATATATTAAAAAAGAGGGCATCTCGATCAGACTAGAGTTGCCGGGCAAATTCATGATCCTTCGAGAAACTCCAGCGCGCATGCTCCCAACGTCACGTGACTTCCGCTGTCGTAACAGGCTGTTTAACAACCAGCATCCTGACATGTAGGTAGTACTGTTTAACAACCAACATCCTTACATGTAGGTAGGGCTATTTAATAAACGAACATCGTGACATGTAGGTAGTGTTGTTTAACAACCAACATCGTGACATGTAGGTAGGGCTGTTTTTCAAACGAACATCCTGACATGTAGGTAGGGCTGTTTAACAACCAACATGTAGATAGGGCTTTTTAACAAACGAATATCCTGATATATAGGTAGTACTGTTTAATTAACGAACATCCTAACATGTAGGTAGTGGTGTTTAACAAACGAACATCCTGACATGTAAGTAGGGCTGTTTAACAACCAACATCCTGACATGTAGATAGGGCTGCTTAATAAACGATCATCCTGACATGTAGGTGGGGCTCTTCTGCGTTGAGACTACATTATTTATAAATTGTACAGTTTTTCTTGTTATATGAATATCATAACCAATCTACATGTACATATATGTATATGTATACACGTGAATGCAGAAAATATATTGCACTTGAGGTTAGTAATATGTGTTCACATTCCAGAACAATGCTTATGAACTTGTTGACTTGATACACAAAACCGTTTACATAAATTGGATTAAGCAGCATCACAATATGTTCGCTGAAGTCTTTGTACAACAATGTTGACATCAGATCTCAATAGCACCTACCCGCGACAGGTGATTAGTAGCAGACGATATCTTACATTTAATCGGTTCTCTCAATCTTAACGTATACTGAATAGCGCCTCCAAGCGGATTTCTTTGAAGACAGATACCCGGTGAACGCTACATGAACTATTTCGAAACCTGTTTCTCGACTTGACTGAGTGCAGGTATTGCAAGAGGACACGTAAGAGGAATCATTTTTTTTTTTTCGATATTTCGACTACGCGGCTTGGTTACTTCGGGTTTTCCGTGAATTGTCGTTTTAAGTCACAGGAATCAAGGCTATATAATTGTTATTTTGTTGTGTTAAACAATGGCAGGTTCGGAACAGACGATTTCTTCGGACGGAGAGACAAACCAGACTCAAGTTTCCGTGGAAACGTCATCGGTAGGTTCTATCGCCGAAATGAGAAAAATTAACACTAATACATAAGTAATATTACTTGAACAATAGATAATTTAGGGTTTGTTAATATTTTATAAACTTTCGGTTGTTCAAATTTGCATAACGAAAAGTATTTTATATTTACGTAGTTAGAGAACAGTTTAGTACCAAACAGAGGGTAGTGGGTGCTCTAAACTTAGATTCCTACAAAACACTATGAGCCTTTCTTTTTTTTTTGTACTTGTGTGTGTGTGTGTGTTTAAGCGCAAAGCTACACAATGACCAATTTGCACTATTCTCACAGCGGGTATTGAACCCCATTTTTAGTCTTTTAAGCCCTGAGCTGTGGGGTCCATTTATGAAATTATAAAACTGTATGTATTATACTAAAATGTATTTATTTTCTTACGTTGAAATGTAAAGTAACTACCAATCTAGACTGCCTATTAGAATAAAATATTCGAAGTTTATATTCGCTGTTATTATTTCACTGATCAGAGCATTGCAAGGATTAAGTACTTGTTAAAATTTGTATTGTAATGTGAGGTCATACCTGTAAGTCAAATCATTGATCCATCCCTGGTTGTATTGTAATGTGAGATCAT